CTCCACAAACTCTTCTAAAAATTAGAAGAGGAGGGAATACTTCCTAACTCATTCTATAAAGCCAACATTACCCTAGTACCAAAACTAGACAAAAATATTACAAAAAAAAGAAAGAAAATTACAGACCAATATCCCTTATGAATATTAATGTAAAAGTCTCAACAAAAAATACTAGCAAACTGAATTCAGCAGCAAATTAAAAGGATTACATGCCTTGGTCAAGTGGAATTTATTCCTGGAGTGCAAGGATGGTTCAACATATAAAAATCAATCAGTGTAATACATCACATTAATAGAAAGAAGGAAAAAAACCTACATAATCATCTAAATTAATGATAAATGAAAACAACTGCATTTATAATAGCATCACAAATAACAAAATACTTGGCAATAAACATAACCAAGGATGCATAAGACTCTTACACTGAAAACTATAAAACATTGCTGAAATAAATTTAAAAAGAAAAAAATAAATGGAAACACTTCCCACATTCATGGACTGGATGACAATATTGTTAAGATATCAATACTACCCAAAGTGATATACATATTTGGTATAATCCATATTAAAATTTCACCAACATTTTTTGCAGAAATAGAAAAACCCTTCCGATCATAAGGAATCTCAAGAAACCTCAAATGGACAAAAAATCTTGACAAAGAACAAAGTTGGAGAACTCACCCCTTCTGATTTCAAAATTCACTACACAAGTACAGTTATCAAAATAGTGTGATACGAGCATAAAGACAGATAGATTAATGAAATAGAAAGAGAGCCCAGAAATAAATCCTCACATATATGGTTAAATAATTTTCAGCCAAGGTGCCAAGACCATTCAATGGGGAAAGGACAGTTTTTTCAGGTGGTCCTGAGAAGACTGGATATCTACACGCAGAAATGAAGTTGGACCCTTACCTTATATCATATATAGAAATTAACTCAAAATGGATCGAATACTTAACCATAAGAGCTAAAACTATAAAACTTAGAAGAAAACATAGAGAAAATCTGCATGACATTGGATTTGGTAATGATTTCTTGGATATGACATGAAAAGCACAGGCAATAAAAGAAAAAAAATAGATAAATTAGACTTCATCAAAATTAAAAACGTTTGTGCATCAAAGGACACAATCAACAGAATGGAAAGGCAAACCACAGAATGGGAGAAAATATTTGCAAATCATATATCTGATAAGAGAATAATATCCAGAATATATTAACAACTCAACAACAAAACAACCAACCCAATTCAAAAATGGGCAAGGGGTCTGAATAGACATTTCTCCAAAGAAGATATACAGATGACCAATAGGCACATGAAAAATGCTCAATATTACTGATCATTAGGGAAATGCAGATCAAAACCACAATGAGATAACCCCTCAAACCCATTAGGATGGTTATTATAAAACAAACAAGCAAAAAGCAGAAAATAACAAGTGTTAGCAAGGATGTGAAGAAAATGGAATTCGTGCGTTGCTGGTAGAAATGTAAAATGGTACAGTTGCTGTGGAAAACAGTATGGCAGTTCCTCAAAAATTTAGACATATAATTACCATATAATACTGTACTTCCACTTCTGAGTACTTCTGAAAAAAATTGAAAGCAGGGATTTGAACAGATATTTGTACACTAAAGTTCATAGCAGCATTATTCACAATAACCAAAAGGTGGAAACAACTCAAATATTATTCATTGACGGAAAAACAGGTAGGCCAGGTGCAGTGGCTCACACCTGTAATCCTAGCACTCTGGGAGGCTGAGGCAGGCAGATTGCTCGAGGTCAGGAGTTTGAAACCAGCCTGAGCAAGAGCGAGACCCCATCTCTATTATAAATAGAAAGAAATTAATTGGCCAACTAATATATATAGAAAAAAAATTAGGTGGGCATGGTGGCGCATGCCTGCAGTCCCAGCTACTTGGGAGGCTGAGGCAGAAGGATCCCTTGAGCCCAGGAGTTTGAGGTTGCTGTGAGCTAGGCTGATGCCATGGCACTCACTCTAGCCTGGGCAACAAAGTGAGACTCTGTCTCTCAAAAAAAAAAAAAGGAAAAAAGGAAAAGAAAAACAGGTAAACAAAGTGTGGTATGTATATGTACACACACAATGGAATATTATTCAGCCTTAAAATTCTGACACATGCTATAACATGGATGACCCTTGATGTTATGCTAAGTGAAGTAAGCCAGTTACAAAAGGACAAATATGGTATGATTCCACTTACACGAGGTACCAGGAGTCAAAGTCATAGAAACAGAAAGTAGAATGATGTTTACTAGTGGCTGGGAAGAAGGGAGAGTGGGGAGTTATTTTTAATGGGGATGGAGTTTCAGTTTGGGAAGATTAAAAAGTTCTGGAGATGGATTGTGGTAATGATTACATGACAGTGTGAATTTACTCAATGCCACTGAACTGTATACTCAAAAATGGCTAAAATGGTGAATTTTATGTTATGTATATTTTATCACAATTTTTAAAATGATTCAGCTGTCAACGTACTAAAAGGGAATAATCTGTAAGATATATGTTCATTGAAAAGCGCTGGATCCCAAAGGGCGGGTTCCATATATATACAAATGTGGTTATATATGCATAAAGTATCTCAGAAAGGCAACAAAAACAACTGCAACCACCTAAAACTGGTTGTCTCTGAAGAGGGGTATGGGGTGGCTGGATGTTAAAAATGAGGAGACTTACTTTTTCGCTTTATGCCTTTACATACATCTTGAAGTCTGTACCGCGCACACTACCCATCCAGAGAAATTATTATTATTTTTAGTGTGTCCAAGTCGCAGTAGTCCCTTTGGGAGCTAAACTCAACCCAGCAGTGCTGCCCAGCTCAGAGCATGTTTTGGAGCGCTCCTCTTTCACCTGCCTTCCAAGCCCCAGGGTGTTGTTTTGCTGCCCTCCATGGTAGCAAATCCTCAGGGGTGGAACTGAATTTTGGAAACCGTCCAAGTGGTTCAGAGCCAAGTCTGGTAGTTGATGGGTTTGACTAGAGAATAGATAGCATCATTTATTTATTTGTTCTCTGCCTCGTTTCACCAAGGAACTGAGGCCTGGGGCTGGTCCGAAGGACAATTTCCTTATGTGGTCTGGAGACCATTCACAGACAAGAGCCCCAGAAATGCTGTCCTCAGTAGCACCACGGAAATGGATGCACGGTCTCCCACACGCATAGTGGATGACAGGGACGGTGCCGCTTGGGATGCGTTAAGGATTCATAGTCTCCCAAATCCTCCAGGAGCGCACGGTCTAGTTTGGGAGATGAGACACAAAAATAACCAGAACACAACAGCTTGCACTGACTCGAAGGCTGGATAAGAATATCTGGCACTCCCCCATCCACCTCATACGCTTGTCTCTTAGATGAAAATTAGATGCTTACTGGGAAAGGGCTTGGAAAAGACAGCAGTGACAAAGCCCAAAGTTCACCTGGCACATTCACACTCCACCTGGGGCCACAGCGCAGGCTCTGGGGTCAGACTGCCTCAGCTTTCTGAGCTATAAAATGGACACAGTGCTAGTCCCTACCTCCTAGGGTTGCTGAAGAATTGGGGACCGTGAGTGTGGAGTGCTTAGTGGATTGGCACACAGTAGGCGGTCAGTGTATTTGAGGTATTACTATAGTTATGTGCATTAGTCATACTGGGGCCTCTTCAAACCCTTGGGGCCGAGAGCGTAGGCATGGCAAGGTTGACCATCCCAACTTCATAGCTGAGGACTCAGAGAGGTAAAGGACTCATCTACTAGAAACTACTCCTGCTGCCGATGGCAGGGCTGGGGCAGGACCAGCCATGGGCTCCTAAGCCAGAGCTCGATTTCCAGGCTTTGCGTTCCAAAAGGGTCAGGCCTCCTAAGAGGGGTCTGTGGAGTGCCAGGTGGAGGTGTAGAGACACAGCCAGTGTTCGTGGAGAAGTGTGGGTGTCCTTAGGGGTCAGCGAGTGCCTTGTGCTAAAGAGGTGACTGTGAAGAGATGGGCAAGCCCTTCATGGGGTTCCATTCCTACTGGGGGGCCTGGAGCATTATGGGGTGGAAAGTGAATGGGACTGTCACCCCCAGCCTTCCTCAACCCTCTGACACCCGTCCGTGCCTCCTCAGGTACCCGGCCCCCACCCCCGGAGCTCCTCTCCTGTGCCTTGTTTCCCGAACCGATGCATTCTCCTCTATAAATACCAACTCTGGTATTTCGGGTTGGCAGCTGTTGCTGCCAGGGAGATGGCTGGGTTGACGTGTGGCTCCTGACAAAACACAAACCCCTGGTGTGTGTGGGTGTGGGTGGCGTGAGTAGGGGGATGAATCAGGGAGGGGTGGGGGGACCAACGGGCAGGAGCCAGGGGAAGCTGGCATGGGGGTGGGAGTGTATATAGCAATTGGAAACTGAAAGCTCAACAGACCCTGGTGGAAATCACCGAGCTGTTTATAAACTTGAGGCCCTGCCCTCAGGCATAGGGGGGAGGAAGAGGGCTGCCCTAGTCTAGAGGGAAACTGAGGCTCAGAGCCAGAAGGCAGGTGCCAGTGGACATACACAGGCAGGCAGGCTCTGGCCAGGATTGCTCTACCTGCCAGGTGCCCTCCCAGCCTCCCTGCCTGCCTAGAGACCCCCTTTGGCCTGGCTGGTCTTTGCCTGAGCCCTCCCAAACCTCTGCAACTTCAAGGGAATCTTTAGAAATAAGGTGGTTTGGGGCCTTTCCTGGGAACAGGCCTTGACCCTTTAGGAAATGAACCAAAGTCTCTCCTGCGAGCAAAAGTGGAACCCTCAAACTAAATGGATGCCTCTAACCTGCTGTTTTCTCTTAGCACCCCCAAGACAAGGCAAGCACCAAAGGGTGAAAGGGGGCCGCCTGGGGGCTCCAAACATGCTTGCTGCCCTGGTGAAGCAGTCGGCGGGCCTGTCTCCTGCTCTCCCGAGTGGGTCAGCCCCTCCGAGGCCCCACACCCGCAGGCTCAGGGGCGCTCCTCCCCGCCCCCACGGCCAGCCCAGCGGCCGCCCTTTCCTGGCAGGACAGCGGGATCCTGCAGCTGTCAGGGGAGGGGTGGCGGGGGCTGATGTCAGGAGGGATACAAATAGTGCAGACGGCTAGGGGCCCTGTCTCCCCTCGCATCCACTCTCCGGCCGGCCGCTCGCCTGCCGCCTCCTCCGTGCACCCGCCCAGCCTCGCCCGCGCCGCCACCATGAGCCAGGCCTACTCGTCCAGCCAGCGCGTGTCCTCCTACCGCCGCACCTTCGGCGGGGCCCCGGGCTTCCCGCTCGGCTCCCCGCTGAGCTCGCCCGTGTTCCCGCGCGCGGGCTTCGGCAGCAAGGGCTCCTCGAGCTCGGTGACGTCCCGCGTGTACCAGGTGTCGCGCACGTCGGGCGGGGCTGGGGGCCTGGGGTCGCTGCGGGCCAGCCGGCTGGGGGCGACCCGCGCGCCCTCCTCCTACGGCGCGGGCGAGCTGCTGGACTTCTCCCTGGCGGACGCGGTGAACCAGGAGTTCCTGACCACGCGCACCAACGAGAAGGTGGAGCTGCAGGAGCTCAATGACCGCTTCGCCAACTACATCGAGAAGGTGCGCTTCCTGGAGCAGCAGAACGCCGCGCTCGCCGCCGAGGTGAACCGGCTCAAGGGCCGCGAGCCCACGCGTGTCGCCGAGCTCTACGAGGAGGAGCTGCGCGAGCTGCGGCGCCAGGTGGAGGTGCTCACCAACCAGCGCGCCCGCGTCGACGTGGAGCGCGACAACCTGCTCGACGACCTGCAGCGGCTCAAGGCCAAGTGAGGGCCGCGCTCCCTTTCTGCGGGAAGGGCGGAGGAGGCTAGGCCTGGGGGCTGGGCTTAGAGTTCTTCTCCTGGGGTCGGAGAGGGTCATCCTCCTGTGTCCTTAAGGGGGAGATAGACTCAAGGTCTCTCCCTTGTGTCCCCACGCTACACAGGAGGAATTTTCTTGGGGATATAGATCATGGGGTGGAAATGAGAGACCTTGGGGGATCCGGGGCCCTGTGGGCAGCCTCATTTAAAAGCATCCTAAAATGCTGGGGTGATGTTGATGGGGTGAGGCAGGCACATGGGTGGAGGAGAGGCTGAAAGAGGACCTGAGTGTAGTGTAGTCAGAGGGACGGGGAGGATGACAGGTGACAGGGAAAGCTGGGCAGGCTGGGAAGGGCAGGGGGCAGGAGTCCAAGCAATAGCTCTCAGCTCAGCTGCGATGAGGCCCAGGGTGGGGGAGGAGAGAGCTTAGCCCCTGGACCTACTGAGGCTGTGTCGTTTCACAAGGTGAATGGCCAGGCTAGAGAAAAAGGGAGTGGGTGGGGGGCTGCAGCCCTCAGAAAGCTTGGGAAAGGCTGGATGGGAGACTCCACCAGCCTCCCAGTATGAAAAGAGCAGCGTATATGAATACTCTATATCAATATAGAGTATTCAAGGGTCCTGCTTCTGACAGGACAAGTGACCAGAGTTACCCTCCTGCCACCAAAATCACAAACATTAATTGATCAGCTATATGAGCCAGGCTGCAGCTGGGAACACACAAGTGGATAAAAGAGATAGTTTCTAATCCCAGGGAGGTCACAGTCTGGTGGGGACATAGACTTCAAGGGTGTGGCTCCAGGGCAGAGACTGGGCCACGTGGTGCACCCTCCCTAGATGGGCGGGGCCTCTGCCGCTGCCTTCCTGGGCTCCTGTCTCTATCCCGCAGACAGGCCTTACCTCTCTGCCCTGGGCCCACTCCCTGGTCAGCCCCCAGCCAGTCGTCTCCACTGTCAGCTTTATCCTCTCCAACTGTCTGTCCTTTTGCCTGTCTTGGCCAGGCTGCAGGAGGAGATCCAGCTGAAAGAAGAAGCAGAGAACAATTTGGCTGCATTCCGATCGGTGAGCCCACTTCCGTACCCCCTACATGGCTCCTGGTCTCCCTCCGCCCCACCTGGGTGGTTGGTGACCCTGTGCTTCTTGCTTGACCTCTCCCAGGATGTGGATGCAGCCACTCTAGCTCGAATTGACCTGGAGCGCAGAATCGAATCTCTCAACGAGGAGATCGCGTTCCTTAAGAAAGTGCACGAAGAGGTACGGCTCAGCCTCTCTGCCTCGGAGTCCTTAGGCCGTGGGAAAGCAATTGGAAAGTGGGGGTAGGGCAAGGCTCTGGGAATAGGGGTGTGAGGGTGCTATGTGGGCCCTAAGAAGGGACTGAAGCCCAACCACACCCTGCAGGAGATCCGTGAGTTGCAGGCACAGCTTCAGGAACAGCAGGTCCAGGTGGAGATGGACATGTCCAAGCCAGACCTCACTGCTGCCCTCAGGGACATCCGGGCTCAGTACGAGACCATCGCGGCTAAGAACATCTCTGAAGCTGAGGAGTGGTACAAGTCAAAGGTGGGTGGCCTGGCCCAGGGACGATGGCACCTCTGTCCCCCTTAATCCCAGTTTGGAGGTGCTGTCTGTGGCTCCATCCATGGGGAGAAGGGTGATCCCAGAATCTCCACGCTCCCTTGCTCCTGCTACCTGCATCCTGCATCCTGCTCATCTTAGGGCCCCTCTCTCTGCCCTCAGGTGTCGGACCTGACCCAGGCAGCCAACAAGAACAATGATGCGCTGCGCCAGGCCAAGCAAGAGATGATGGAATACCGACACCAGATCCAGTCCTACACCTGCGAGATCGACGCCCTCAAGGGCACTGTGAGTCCCTGCCTGCTAGGTCCAGCCCCTCCCTGCCTGCAGCTCACACCCTCACTCTGACCTGGGACACATCACAGACCCTCTCTGGGCATCCATCTCCTCAAATCTACAACTGGGGTGAAACCAGACGCCAGATGTGTGGATTCCAGTTGGGCACTAAGGAGTCAGGAGGTTCCTGGGGCAACTCCCTGTGTGGGGACAAGAAGGCTGAATATAGATGCTTCTTTTTTTCTGTTTGATTCTCTGAGTGTCCACATATAGACTTCATTTGGGCTCAGGGTTCCCTGGCCAAGAAACCTTTGACAACTCCTGGATCTGACCATCTGGAGTTGCCTCCCAGTCCCAAGCCTACGTCTCTGTCTTGGGCCCCTAGTGTCCTCCTCCCAGGACAGCCTGTCTTTGACCTGGGCTCCCCCTCCACTGCAGAACGATTCCCTGATGAGGCAGATGCGGGAGCTGGAGGACCGCTTTGCCAGTGAGGCCAGTGGCTACCAGGACAACATCGCACGCCTGGAGGAGGAGATCCGGCACCTCAAGGATGAGATGGCCCGCCACCTGCGCGAGTACCAGGACCTGCTCAACGTGAAGATGGCCCTGGATGTGGAGATTGCCACCTACCGGAAGCTGCTGGAGGGCGAGGAGAGCCGGTGAGGGGCGAGGCAGGGGTTGCGGAGCTGGGGGCCCATTTCTGCCCCCTGGGGCTCAGGTTCACCTCAAAAAGATCTGGAAATGATTTTATACCAGAGGCCGCCACTCTGCTAATTGCAGAGAATTAACCAAGGCCACCTGAGTAAAAAGCAATTTAATTAACAGCATTTATAAAAAGAGAAATATAAAGTATTCCCTTATCCACCTTCAGAATTAAGAACCAGCAGCATAAAACCATATTCAGCAACCAGTAATAAAATATTACTGCCAGTCAAGGGAGAGATGAAAGCAGAGTGGGGAATGATAAAGGAAAGGGAAGGAGGAGATGGAGACAAATGAGACAGAGGGGGAGAGAAAGCCTTGCACACGGATAGGCACAGAGAGGGGGAGAGACACACACAAGGAGGGCGCAAGCACAAACACATGCTCAGAGGGAAAGACAGAGACAACGTGCTCGTAGCAACCCACCTACAGACACAGAAAACAGCTGGAAGGACACATGATCCTTCAGGGGTGATAGAAATGTTCTATATCTTGATTTGGATTGATAGTTACATGGATGTAGACACTGATCAAAACTCATTGAATTGTACATTAAAGATCTGTGCATTTCACTATATGTAAACTTAGCCTCAATTTAAAATAGGTCAATTACTCCAAACACTAGTACCCCTTGATACTCATAAAAATAATAATATGGGAAAAATTTCAAAAAGCAGCAGACGTGTTTAGATATAGACTTATACCTAAAGAAAAACTTCAGATTTCCTAGAATGACATCTACATGCGATGGCCTTTGAAGGTAGCTAAAGGAGTGTGGGATTTTCCCAGCCTTAGGCATAGATGGTCAGCTCCCGGAACTGGCCTGGCTGGAGGGTGGGCACACACAATGTATGTCATCCACAGCTGCTATTGTTACATCCTGCAGTGCCAGGAGCAAGAAGGAAACCTTGGTGAACTGGAGGGTGTGGTAGGGTTGGGCATCCTGGTGTCATGCCAGCAGGCCAGAGTTGAAAATAGATGATCCTTCCAGAAGGGACTACTCCTGGGACAGCTGCCGTTGGCCTTTGACCCCATTCCCTGAGCAATGTGGGCAGTGGGAGTGTGGGGGTCAGTGGGACTGGGACAGATAAGGATAGTGTTCACGGAGGACCATGGCTAGCCTTGATGGGTGGTCAAAGGGAGACATGGGAGGGTCCTTAACTCTTTGGGGGCTTGGTCTCTCCCTTCTCAGGATCAACCTCCCGATCCAGACCTTCTCTACCCTCAACTTCCGAGGTGAGTGTGTGCTAGGAGGTAGAGGTTGGGGCCACAGGGGCCAAGAGTCCAGCATGGGCACTGCCCAAGGCCAGCCAGGAGGAGAGGATGGGACCATGGGGCCAGGGCCAGGCCTGGGGACTGGGCAAGAGAGAGGCAGTCACTGTGGGTAGGTAGGACACTTTAGATAGACGTAGAACAGGCAACTTCTGACAGAGCTTTTTTTTTTTTTTTTTTTTGAGACAGAGTCTCACTCTGTTGCCTGGGCTAGAGCGCTGTGGCATCAGCCTAGCTCACAGAAACCTCAAATTCCTGGGCTCAGGCAATCCTTCTGCCTCAGTCTCCCAGTAGCTGGGACTACAGGCATGCACCACCATGCTTGGCTAATTTTTTCTATATATTTTTAGTTGGCCAATTAATTTCTTTCTATTTTTAGTAAAGACAGGGTCTCGCTCTTGCTCAGGCTGGTTTCGAACTTCTGACCTATGAGCGATCCGCCCGCCTCAGCCTCCCACAGTGCTAGGATTACAGGCGTGAGCCACAACGCCCGGCCTGACAGAGCTTTTTATTTGATTGTTTTGTGTTGTATTTTATTTACCACATCTTCTGTGCCTTCTGGGAATACTGGGCTTCAGGAAGCAGCCTCTGTTTTGAATCCCAAACTCTGAAAGTAGCAGGGATGTCCTTGGGGGCCTGGCTGTAGGTGCAGGTCTTACTCCCTGGGCTAGAAGGCACCACTGCCCATTGTCTGTTTGGCATGTTGCCAAGCAGGACCCCCCCCCCCACCGGCTGTTTGTTGAACACTTCCAGTTTGCTGGAGCAAGATGTTGGATGCATGTTTGAAAAAATGAAGCCAAATCTTAGCAAAGCCAAACAATGAAAAGAGTGAGCTCTTAGGGCATTCTGCCACCCTGACATTAGTAATATGCAGATCGAGTGGCTTTCCAACCCCAGAGAGCAGAGAAATACATGATAATGATGCATTAGGAAAGCAAGTCGGAGTCCTTGGCAGCTTCTCCTTTCCTAGATCAAATCTTTTATATCTTCGACGTTCATTTCCATCAGGAAAAAATACACGCTGTGCTCCACCAAGTTGCAACATTTATCACAGGCTAGTTGCTTGCTAAGGAGATTCGTGAACACCAGACTCATAATACCAAGGACCTAAATTTGACCCTGCCCATAAAACTCAGAACTTCTATTTTCTGTTAGTTGTTTATATAGACACCAAGTGTGAGTCTTGCATTTAAAACTGCACAATGCAAAAAAAAAAGAGAGAGAGGGAGAAGAAAAGAAAAGAAAAAAAAAACCTATGCACTGATTTTTCAAATCAATAGCTCTGAGGCTGTGATAGGGCAAGCACCATTGTTGCCATTTTGCTCAGTCTCCTCGCTGGGGAAACTGAGGCAGAGAGGTCAAGTGGCTGACCACCAGCACAATGAATCAGTGCCTGGCTCTTGCTCTGTCTCACTTTCATTAAGACATCAAGTTGCTCGTCCCAAGTCTTAAAGAGGGACAGGTACTATAAGGTCTTCCAAAAGAATGTCTTGAGACTGGGCTTTGGGGTTCTGTCTTGGAGGAGGGGAGCCCCAGAATATACATCCATGCAGAGCTTTCCTGGAGCCCAGAGGTGGAGAGCAAGCAAGGAGGTGTGGGTCTCCTCTGCCCTCCTGTGTCAGCCCTCCCCCACCCCCACACGTAGAGCAAATCTGTTGGTTCCTGAGTCCCAGGGACTGCAGAGCCACCTGCTGGGTGCTGGGCTCAAGGAGAGGTGCTAAAGTCTTGTTGAAGAAGTCACAAGCCCATCTTGAGGGGGTAGGAGGTTCTGCCAAGGTTCTGCTCAGTGTGGTCAGGTATGGAGCCCCAGTCCCTGGTGCAGCCCTGCCTGGACTTGGTCAGGCTGAGCATGCAATGGCTCTGTTATAGAAACCAGCCCTGAACAAAGGGGTTCTGAGGTCCATACCAAGAAGACGGTGATGATCAAGACCATCGAGACCCGAGATGGGGAGGTGAGTGGTCTGTCTGGTCTCCTTACCTTTGGTGGGGGCGTTGGATGTATCTGGGAGTACTGTCTTCCACCAGCTGCCCTGGTTCGGGCTCCTGGCTGAGGGGGGGTAGAGGTGTCCTGCTGCCCTGGGGTGGGGGGGCTCAGGGCCTAGGCTCCATGCTGTGGCCAGCACCGGTTTGACTGGGCTTCTCTCCCTCAATAGGTCGTCAGTGAGGCCACACAGCAGCAACATGAGGTGCTCTAAAGCCAGAGCCCTGCTGCCGCCAGAGACCGTCCTTGCCCCTGTCCTCACTGCCTCCTGAAGCCAGCCTCCTTCCAGCCCAGGACACCACCCCTCACTGCCTCTGACCCCTCCTCACCTACCATCCCTCATGGTCCCCACAGGGGACATGGCCCATGCCTGCCCAGCCACAGAGAGCACCCCAGCCGCCTCTGCAGACCCCAGCCATGAGTCCTGGCTGTTGGAAGTGAGTGAGCCTGGCTCTTGTGCTGGACGGAGCCTAGGCTAGAGCAGCGACCCTGCCCCTCCCACCTCCGTGACCTCAGGCACTAGCCTCTGGCTTTGGAGAAGGCCCCAGAGCAAGGTGTTGGGACACCGCAGGGTCAGGACTGAGCCCCGTGGGCCTTCCCAACCCCCAGCCCGGGAGAGAGAAAGGGCATCCTCCTCAGCAAGCTGGGCAGGAAGCCACGGACTGGACCCTGTGGACACTGGGGGGCTTCAAATTGTCCCCTTGGTCCCTTACTTTCCTTTCCCTAGCCCAGGGTGGGCTTAGAAAGCAGGGGCTGCAAGAGGGAACCCCCGAAGGTGCCGGATGTGGGAGCAGGAGAATGAGAAGGAGAGAGGGTGGGTGAGATGCTGGAGAGGAGAGGAGAGAGGCAGAGAGCGGTCTCAGGCTGGCGGGAGGGGCACCCACCTCCCCACGCCTGCCCTCCCCGCTGCAGGGGCTCTGGACAGAAACAATAAAGACATAAGCACAAGCCAAGCATGCCCCTACTGTCTGGACTGCTGGGTCTCCTCTGGGGGCCCCAGGACCCTGTCGTGCCACCCATCACCCTGAGATGGGCTGTCCCCTGGAGCCTTGCACCAGCTTCTGTTCCCAGAGCCGCCCAGCCTTGCTGTATGCCTGCAGCACACGGGGCATGGAGCACTGGACAGGGGTTTTTGTTGAAAAACCAGAAATACCTCCTGGTAGGCTCCACTTCCCAGACTGCCCCTTTATGCCCCTGACCCCACCTTCAGATCAGCAGGGCCAGGGGGCACCACCTGCTGTTCTTTTCTAAGAACATGCTGCTCCCTACCTACTGGCTCTGAAGTTGGGCTTCCTCAGTCCCTTCTCCAAAAAAACTAATGGCCTTGGGTTGGGCACAGTGGCTCACACCTGTAATCCTAGCACTCTGGGAGGCCAAGGCAGAAGGACTGCTTGAGCTCAGGAGTTTGAGACCAGCCTGAGCAAGAGCGAGACCCCATCTCTACTCTAAATAGAAAAAAATTAGCCAAACAACTAAAAATAGAAAAAATTAGCCGGGCACGGTGGCGTGTGCCTGTAGTCCCGGCTACCCGGGAGGCTGAGGCAGGAGGATCACTAGAGCCCAGGAGTTTGAGGTTGCTGTGAGCTAGGCTGACCCCAGGGCACTCTAGCCCAGGCAAGAGAGTGAGATTCTGTCTCAAAAAAAAAAAAAAAAAAAAAAAAGTGCTAATGGTCTCATTCCATTAACCCTTTCTAAGACCGTTTTATACACAGGGGCCAATTCAAGAAAAGTAATATTCTAAAAAATGGAAAGATCTATTCTGTGCTTGGATAGGAAGGGTCAATACTCCAAAGGTGCCAATTCATCCTCCATTCCTTTATAATTTCAATGCAATGCAATCTCAATCAAAGTACCAAAGGAATGTTAAAAGAACTGGGGAAGATGGGCAGGATGGGGGTTGGGAGACATAGGACATACAAAAAAATATTATGAATCACGGGATAAAACATTGAAATGTGAGGTAATGATAACTAAAACAGATTTGTTAATGAAGAAGAAATATACAAATATTAATGGAAAAAATAGTGTTTAAAGCAAGACTCATATACATATGAGATACACATACATTAAAGGAAGCATTTCAAATCTGTAGGAAAACCTTAATAATTCAATATAGGGTTTGGGGGGCAATTGGGTAGCCAAGGGGTGCAGTGGCAGCAGAAGTGAAGGCTGTCTCTCTTTTACTCCTTCCAGAAAATACATTCTAGTAGACCAAAGATTTAGGAAACTTGATGGATCCAAGCAGACCTTCCAGATTTAAGGGATTATCCTTAAAAGGAGATGGGAAGAGGGTAGAGATCACAAAGATAATAAACTCAGTCTGTAGGTGAAATAAACCTAATAGAATTTTACTCTTCAAGTCCCTCATGTGACATTCCAAACTGGCTTTTCAAGAAACTTCCAAAAGCCTTTCTGGTGTCTCTTTCTCTGCTTCCTTTGATGCAGCCCTCGCTCACAAGTCGCTCCTTGCTCTAAGAAGGGCCCCTTTCCCTGATATTCTTCACCTTTGCCCTGGGAATACCTAGGGGCTACATGCCAGGTCCCCCCACCCTGCCACTGGTGACTCGTGGTCATTTCCTTCGCCGCCAGTGCTCAAGCAGGGTGAACGGACCCCAGAACTACCCAAGTCCACCTGTAGAGAAACTCCATAATGCCCCTCACAGAAAATGAAATTGGAAGTAGCATTTCCAGTGTCTTCATGCTGGGATGGAGGAGGAGGGATGGGTAAGGGGCTTTTCCTTGTGCCTGTTGTGGGCCCTGGACCTGAGCTGGCCTCTGTGAGGGAGACATCTGGGTGGGGCTGGGCCAGGTGGATAAGAGGTAGTGTGTATCTGTGAGTAGTTTCTGGAGTTTTTGGCTCCCTCCTCTTTCCCCTGAATGAGTTAAGAGCACTCATCTGTCCCACAAGGAATAAAGGGACATGTAGGTCAGGGAAGGTTTTGAAAGCAGCAGCCCCCTGAAAACCATGCTTCAGTACAGACTAGTCACTAAGGTGGAGGAAATGTAAGAATCTTAGACTCTCAGAGTCAGACCTCAGAAGTCTCCCAGGAAATGACCTTCACAGTGCAGAAACCCCCTTCCCAGGGCTGGGCGAGGGGGCTCACGCCTGTAATCCTAGCACTTCGGGAGGCCAAGGCAGGAGGATCGCTTGAGCTCAGGAGTTCAAGACCAGCCTGAGCAAGACTGAGACCCTGTCTGAACTAAAAATAGAAAAATTAGCCAGTATTATGGTATGCTCCTGTAGTCTCAGCTACTTGGGAGGCTGAGGCAGGATTGCTTGAGTCCAGGAGTTTGAGGTTGCAGTGAGCTATTAATATGATGAGGCCACTGCACCCCACCTGGGGTGACAGAGCGAGACTCTGTCTCAAAAAAAGAAAAGAAAAGAAAAGAAATCTCCTTTTCAGTCTTGCCCCAACATCCTTGGTGAGCATTCATCAAACTGCCTAAATGTCACCAGTGTCAGAGGACTCCCTGCTTCTATGGTGGCCCCTTCCAGCTGGGAGCAACTCTGAAAGAAAGCCCTTCCTTATCAACAGACCTGTCTCCTATGACTACTACCCACTTGTCCTCAAAGAGTGGCCCAGAGCCACTCTCTGTCCCCCAGGGGGAGGTATTTTCTGAGCAAAGCCTTTCTGGAACTAGAAATTCTGGTTTGTAAGCTTTGCCTATCTCCTTGGGAGCTGGACAGTGACCCAAGGAACCCAGGGAATGGACAAAAACAAACCAAACCAAACACCAAAACAGATTTGGGTCTCATGTAGTCGTATACACACAACCAGATCTTCAATGTACCCCTCCCACAACAATCCCCCATTGCCTCCATGGTAAAAGCTCTCCCTGTTCCTGGAGATGCTCTAGTGTCTTCTGTTTTATGCCCGTTTTATGCACAGGGGCCAATTCAATAAAAGTAATATTCTAAAAAATGGAAAGATCTATTCTGTGTTTGGATAGGAAGGCTCAGTACTCCAAAGGTGCCAATTCATCCTCCATTCCTTTATAATTTCAATGCAATGCAATCTCAATCAAAGTACCAAAGGAAAATGTTAAGAGAACTGGGGAAGATGGGCAGGATGGGGGTTGGGAGACATAGGACATACAAAAAAAAAATTATGAATCACGGGATAAAACATTGAAATGTGAGGTAATGATAACTAAAACAGATTTGTTAATGAAGAAGAAATATACAAATATTAATGGAAAAAATAATGTTTAAACAAGACTCATATACATATGAGATACACATACATTAAAGGAAGCATTTCAAATCTGTAGGAAAACCTTAATAATTCAATATAGGGTTTGGGGGGCAATTGGGTAGCCAAGGGGTGCGGTGGCGGCAGAAGTGTTCAAGACTCTGAACATTGGAAAATAAGAGGGCACAGAGGACTGATCAGCTTCCCACTGAACCCAAGGGACCAGGCCCAGACCAGCTCTGGCCCCACTGGGTAGGGGAGCAGGAACGATTGTGGAGGTAGATAGGTCCATATGCCAGGAGCTGAGAGCTCAGTGGGCATTTTCCTACACTGTCTGTCCACTCTGGATACCTTCCCACCCCTGTCCCTTGAGACCCCTGCCCCATTCTACCCATGCACTTCCTCCCACCTTCCTTTCACCACCTGGAGCACATATGCAAATGCACCAGTGACCTTTGATTTAACACCTAAAATGTCAGCTACTCAAGCATAGGGTTTTTATCCATTTTATTCACTACTCTATCCCCGTGCCCAGAAGAGTGCCCAGAAGAATAGTAGGTACTCATTAAATATATAAATATTTGCTGAATGAATACCTACTAAGCACTTTTACTCACTTTTCTCTAAATTAAATATTCACCAGGAAGGGCTGATGGCCTCCAATTTATTCACTGACTTAATGAACATTTACTGAGATTTTCCTGTGTGCCAGGCAAATGGTACATGGCACAGCTTGAAGAAATGCTCCATGGCCCAGAGAGGTGGGGTGACCTGCCAAGGTCACACAGCAGTGTGTAGCAAAAGAAGACTGGGCCCTCAGGCTCCTTGGCCTCTGGAGCCAGGATCTCTTTCCATGACACCATAGGCTTGTGATCGAAAGGCAGGGCAGACTGGCAGCACACACACCCAGCCTGGCGCCAGCCCACGGGCACTGTGGGGCCCATGCAAAGGGACAGACAAGTGTCTGGCAGCCAGCTGCCCTGGGTGACCAGCCTGGCCAGAGCCCTAACTGCTTTCAGCTGTCACAGCTAGTGGGGGCTCCTCCCAGGAGAGGGCGCCAGTGACCTGCATGGGCCTGTGCCCTCCCTACCTAGGCCCACAGACCCCTAGTGCAAATCGATGAATGCCCCAATTACAGATCTATGAAGGCATAAGACAAGCTGTGTTCCAGGCTCTGTGCCAGGCCCTTTTAAATAGTTAATATTCATTTTAATATTTAATATAATAATTTAATACCATCACAACAATGTAAGTCAGATCATGTAATTCTTATGCTCAAAGCTCTGAGATGACTTCACTGGGAATGAAAGTGTTATGACTCACAAGATGCTAGGCCATCTGGCCCCTGCTACCTGTCTGACCCATTTCCCTTCACTCTCCCCGCCCTGTCCCCGCAGCCTCCCTGGCCTTCTGTCTCTTCTCGGAGGCGTATTTCCACCTCTGTCTGAAGCGGTCCTTCCCAGAGGCTTGCATTATTTCCTTCCTTACTACAGATTGGCTCAAATGTTCACAGGGAGGCCAACGCCAACCACCCTGTTTGAAAGCGCAATCTCCCACCCCACTTGCAACCCCTGGCAAGCTTACCCTGTCCATAGTACTCTGTCCATAGTACTCATCTCCTTCTAAAATCTTTACAATTTCTTTATTTCTTTATATTTGGTGTTTGTCTCTCTTCTCAAATATAAGCAACACGGGGGCAGGAATCCTTGTCTGTTTTGTTCACTGCTACATCTCTAGTCCCTACTACCGTGCCAGGCAGG